GTTAGGCAAAGAGGGAAAATCAATCAACGAGGCTATAAAGTTACATAGATTGAGATGGCTAGGTGACGTGCTGCGCATGTTTAACCATCGCCTCCCCCACCCCGACGGGCATTACTAGCTATCTGATATGGGTGCAGGTTGGAAAAGAGTAAGTGGTAACCAAACAAAAACATGGTATCAATCCATGAAATCCTTGACAGTTAAACTGAGTCAGGTAGGGAAATGCAGACTTCCGGGTTGGGGCCCACCCACGGGACTCTAAGAATCAGTGGCTGGAGACAGACAATAGGTGACATGGCTCAAAATCGTTGTCAATGGCGCACATGTATTCAGTCTCTGTAATCTTTCATATTCCTTTCTACCAGTACTCATTCTGTTTCACTCTTATACTTGTCAAAACTCTATTGATTCTCTTCACTCATTTTCTTGTCTACCTTTGTGTGCTACTTGGAATGTGGTAACTCGAAGTGCTGCACTTCGGCGCCAAGTTCTATGTTGAATCCAGACAGACAGACTTGTTAGATCTAATCCAACTTATGTGATGAAATAACCGCAATGCGTGTACTTTTTGACAGCTTAAAACTACTACACTGTATTTCATCTGTCCGTTGATAATAGCTAGCTATCGAGAATATAATATGTTATAATATCTGCCACTTTTAGTGCTAATCCATCTGATTACAGTTAATGTCTAATTAAGAGAGAAGAACGTCATGTGTTTGTTTCTTCAGGAAAAAATTGATTTTTTGGTGATTATCTCAACATATGTCAAAACATAATTCTCACTATCTACACTACACTGCACTGCAGAAATGCGAAACAAGTGAAGAATTCACAAAATCAGGAGACTAAGAAAACAAGATAATCCGCAGAATAATAATGATAATAAAAGCAATAACATTATTGATTAGAATTAAAAGTACTTTGAAAAATTATTGTGATTCACCTTTAACTTAAGGACAAACTTAGTGCTATTTAGCTATCATAGAGAAAAGAGTTACACTAAAAACTAACACATAGTGTTATACTTTAACAGTATGCTAGGACTTTATATTTTGCTTCATATGGAATTCAACAGTCCTTAGAAGGAGAATCTCCACCTCTTTAAGAAGAACTTTCTTTGTGGCAACATTGAGAGTAGTCTACTCTCGTCGCCAGCTGATCTACAGAAGCCCAAAAGACAAGATCCCGCACCTGACCACTTCTATGTGTATATATCAGTTCACCTGTTGCTGTGGAGCCAGGTACATCGGTTGTTCAACGCGTATCCTGTCAAAAAGGGTCAAAGAACACTATCCAGCGTGGCTACAGAAAGGAAGTAATTGCTGCATAAGGAGTTCAATAATAGAACACCTCGTCAACACTGGTCATTCCATCTCAGAAGACGCCTCCTTCAATGTAATCTACAAAGTGAAGAACAACCTTCCAAAGACAGTACAATTCCGTCTTCTTCGCATCGCAGAAGCCCTAGCCATTAAGCTAGAAGAACCAGAACTGTGCATACAAAAGAAAATCATATGGAATTCGCAATGTTTTTAAATCTTACACTTTATGTGTACTATTGCTTCAGGATCTTTCACGTGTTATCTTCAATCAAATTCACAAGTTAGAGATAGGGAGTGAAGTGGTTAAGCGTGTTGCCAACACTTCACTCACTTAGGAAATTGCATCACCCCCAATGGAATGATTCCGTAACAATAATTATTATTATTATATTATTATTATTGTTTCCTTTAGTTCCTAGAGGAATATAGGGCTTCAGCCGAACGTCTCCATTGCGTTCGATTCCCTGCCAACGTTTCCACCTGGCTCCACGTCTGCACATATGCGTTCATCTCCTATTCACATGTCACTCTTGGACGACCAACTCGCCGATTCCCCTTCGAGTTACACTCGAGTGATGGCCTGGCGTGTGATGTCACTTGATGGTTTCCTCAAAGTATGGCCAATCCACCTCCATTTCTTCCTGCTTATTTGTCGCACAATCGGTTCTTAGTTGGTTTGTTCATTACCAGAGACCCCTGTTGCTGATCTTTCCTGACCGGCCTTCTGATCTGGAGTAATGAGCAAAGACAGCTATTGATGAAGGTCTGTAGTTTGTTCGAAATGCCCTTCGTGACGCTGCGCCAAGTCTCTGATCCGTATAGTAGCATTGACTTCACACTGGAGTTGAAAATCCAAACCTTATTTTTCATGTTGAGTGCTGTTGACCTTCACACAGACTTGAAAGTAATGAAAGCTTGCCTTGCTTTCCCGATCATCGCTTTGGTATCCGTATCAGTTCCGTTCGCCTGTAGTTGAAACGATGCTTCCCAGGTCAGTAGGTAAAGGAGGTTAGTTCTTTCAGATATCTCCCATTTATGCTGATTGTTGTCTGTTGTTGTTGCTGGTGCTGTTGGACGGAACAGCTGTCCAACACTCTCAGGTTTTCCAATGGCTCTCTAACCAATATCAGTTCATGATGAAATCCTGTAACCAATCAATCAAATCGCTACAAACCAACACTTGAAAATTGTATTAGTTTGGAAAAGAGTTAGGGGGTGGTTACACCACAACCTGGCATCTATCCATGAGGTCTTTCACAATTGATTTGAGCTAGTCAAGTGGGGAGATGTAGACTATCTTATTCGGGTGCTCGGGATCTTAAAACAACGAATAGCTTGGGACCATTGGTAACATAGCTCAGATGAATATACTCTCTGCGATCCGCTTTATCCACTGAACCGTCATGTTTCTCTATGTTAATATTCTTTTTCCTGTACATATCTGTTTATTACTAGTAATGATAATCATAATAACTATTATTATTTTTATATCCGTTTTTTTCTGTCTTTCGTCTGCCTTTGTATGCTATATGCAGTGTGACAACTTCAACCACAACACTTTTGTGCAAAGTTAATTAGTCAGTTAGTGTCTAAATCTACTGATATGAAGATGAACTGAGTTTTCAGTTTGGAATCTTGCATAAAAGTACAGCAGTTCAAGTTGCCACAACGCGCCAAATCACACATAAAGATGAAAATTTGATATACAGAAATGTAAAGGAGAAAACAATAGAGAATTTAATGGATATTAGATATCATCATAGTGCGTCGGTGGCATAGTGGTTAGGACGCTCGCCGACCATGCACATGGTCCGGGGTTCGATCCTCGGCCACTGGACGCACTCCTTTACCTCGCTAAGCCAGAAATAATGCTGATGAAGAGGAAAGGTTGGACATGAGGCTAGCAACCCCATCCTGTAAAATAAACACTGCTACAGAAACTTCAAGCCACTAGTTTGAAGCCCTATGTTCCACTGGGGAAAGTGAAGGAAAAAAATCAGATATCATCACAAAGTGTGGATATGGATGTGTGCCATTGGAAACTATTTTGGAGCCATTGATATAAGAATAGAACCTGTGCACTGTGGTAAAGTATAATTCCATTGTGGATAAAATTTATTTTGACTAAGTCTCACAGTGTTATACAGTCATATTTACTGATGACCAAGTTTCAAGCACAATTTATTACTGCTCATAATCCCAATATCAAGTTACTCAAACAAATTTCTAACTTCGTTTAAATAATTCTATTATTTTCCATAGCTTGATTTGATTAGTAGTAGTATTTGCCATATGAGTAATGAGTCATTCCTATTGTACGTGTTGGGTGTAGATTCGATGATCAAAGATTCAATAATCAACCTCTCTCTCTCCACCTACTTATATATTATTTTTTAGAATCTTGACTCTCTCCCACCCACCCTATTGTGCGGTTGTGTGTTAACGCATGAAGTGCAATCGCTGAACTTTGTTTCTAAATTACCGAGTTTTGATCATAGCATCTACACACAACATGTGCAATAGGAATGACTCACTCACTCATACCAGAAATATGGAAAATACTACCACCAATCAAATCAAGAGATGAGAAATCGTGGAATTATATAAACGAAGTTAGAAAGTTGTGTGAGTAGTGCCTTGATATGATTATGAGCGGCAATAAATTGTGCCAGAAATATTACTGTATGACACTGTGAGAATTCATCAAAATAAATTTTAATATAGCAAAAATATTCATTCAGACATCTATGAAACACAAAATAATCGAGCAAAGAATATTCTTTTCGATAAATTCCTCTTTCAGGCTCTACAATTATATATATGCATGTTTATATACACAGAATATTCTAGATTAGTAGTTAATAACAATATTAGCGTTTTTTTAAAATAATATCGATTTGTAAAGTAAGATCACAATGGAATTACAGTTCATTAAAGATGCTTAAATTATAATAATAATAATGAAGATATAATAGCGAATAGATTATCAACTAAAATTAGGGAAATTTCAAGGTGATGATAATGGCTGAACTAACTTCTTTTGGATGCATAAATTAGGCTAATTAATATGAATCCCCACAGCCTCAGCAATATTTAGTAGTCAAACTCTTAAGGTGAAATTGAGATTCGTAGGTATGCGGTAAATGACCCTGAAAGCATGATTGACGTCAATCTTGTGTTCTGTCTCCACAAGATAAGACAGAATAGCGCTGTCCACAAATGAAGCATTTTGAACCACGTCACCAATAATCTCTCACTTTAGAACGCTCGCCAAGCACGCATATAGTCCTAGGGGTTCGATTTCCCGTTGACGCAGTTCTTTATCTTGCTAAGCCGATAGTAAGTCAGGTAAAGAGGGAAGGTTGGGCATGAGGATGGCTACCAACCTGAACCCGTAAAAATAAATACCAATGCTACTGGAAATTCAAAGCTCTGGCTTGAAGCCCTATATTCCAGTGGGAACGTGAAGGAACACAATAATTAAACAATAATAAAAGTGGATCTTAGCATTACAACAAATATATGTGCACTTCGTATCCCACTAGGAATTTACCACCCTCACCACCCACCTTAACCGGTACATATAATTTATCTTTTATTTAAATTATTATTCAATTACGAAGAAAACCTCTTTTTATTAAAAAAAATACAACAACAACAACAGAAAACACTCACCAAATGATGTTACTAGGCGTTGGTGCAAAATCCACAGACCATGTATGACTTCTTAACTCCTTACTCACACTAGACGTTAAACGATTCATTAAACGTTTACATGTATCTCGATAATCCTTGCACACACTAAAAGGGTAACAGTTTTGAAAAAAAAAAAAACAACAACGAAGGCATTAAAACATATGACAATCTAATCATATTAAACAGCTCGATAATACCTAGATACACGTGCCATATATATATATATATATATATAAATGACAAATGTGACAGACGTCGAAGCAAAACCCTAGACTTTAACAAAAGCTTACCAGTATATTAGACATAAAAACACACTGTTTACGTCGATATTAAAAGAAACAGCCTTAGTACTTTTCTTTTTGTTATTCATAGGAAGTTCAATATGCTCACTTTAATAACAAAAATCATCATCAGCTGACATCGGTTAGAGAAATATTGGAAAACGTCGGAGTACCGTGTGGCTGTTTCGTCCTAGTTTGGGACTCTTCATCAGCCAAAAGAATAAGACATTTCTTAGGTCGGGGAGCATGCATATAGCCCGCAGCTTCCATACAAACCATTGCATATAACAATTGCGTCTCGCATTATCTTATCGCGCTTAGCAGATCAGCAAACGAAAAGTCACAAGATCTCTATCACACCACATAACAAGCTAGGTACCTCGGTCAAAGTAACGAGATATTAACATGACTGAAACTCGGGCGCAAGTCTACCGAATCGGAGTACATTCAGTCTAACCCAAAGAAAGGTCCATGGGAGACAGAAAACCCGCAAATGGCAAACCTAACCGGATATCACTTAAATAGTGTAAAGTGTGGTAAACTTTAGGTTGGTAACAATGTGCGATTGACAATGTTGGATGCGATAAGTGCTGTGTATACTTGGTTACACTTTTCTGAATGAGTAGTGCTTGTAGGTGAGGAAAACACTAGTAATGGACAAACCAAAAAGGCAGTAAGAAAACCATCAGCTCCCTAACCGTAGTTGTAATCCAATACTGAAATTTAACTTCAGGATAGGCATACTGAAATACACCACAGAAGTTTAAGATGCTGAAATTTTACTGAAGAAATCCTAAGATTAAAAGGAACAGAAGGACATAAAGAAAATGAACCAGTCAGTGAATCAACACATCGAACTTATATTGCCTATACTGGATCACTGCAATGAAGGTAGCTAGCTGTATTACTATTAGGCCGGAATAAGCATAACAGTGGCCACGCAAAGACAAAGTAGGTACAGAGAAGGTTAGTAGTAGAGCTGTAATACATTCATCTATGCATTCTACACATTCAACCACTTGGCTAATGAATTAGAAACCCTTCCAACCCACCAAAATTCAGTCAATATGATAACTCCCCACACAACAGGTGTAGCTCGTTATCCTGTATAGAAAAGCTTAACTTATCCAATCATTTCGTGGATTCTCTTCAACTGTCTACATTCTAAATAAATCAATTATACGTTACAAAGGGGTGGAATTAAGATTTCTCTTGGAAACAAGGATGGACTATGGACAAAATACAAGACAGAACAACAGAGTTAATTTATACATGTTACGGTAGAGAGTTCAGGGGGGTGGGGGTGAACAGTAAAGTAATTTTATAATTATTATTTTAAATGCATCACTCAGAACTTATATTACGCTTAGTTCGTATCAATTACACCTGGTCATTGAAAAAAGTATGTTTAAATCTTTAATGTAATTTATAACTTTTCTTTTGTTCAGGTTATAGCAAGTTGAGAAGAATCCTCGAAATAACATAAGATAGGCTCATATTATTATCCTTGTACACTTGTTATTCTTGCTATGTTCAAGTTTATACTAATTGTAATATTACTATACTAGAGTTACCTTGTTTTGTACCAAGTCAATGTGTTGATATAAGAATAAAACTTGGGCACTGTGGAAGAGTGCAATTCCATTATGGGTAAATTTTTATTTTGATAGAGTCTCACAGTGTTATACAGTAATATTTACTGATGATGACGTTTCGAGCACAATTTATTGCCGGTCATAATCATATCAAGGTAATCACACGACTTCCTAAATTCATTTATATAGTTCCATTGTTTTTCACTTGATTTTAACTTGATTTGATTGGTAGTAATATTTTCCAGATTTCGGGTTTGAGTAATGATTCATTCCTATTGCATGTGTTGGGTGTAGATTCGATGAACAAGGATTCAGTAATCAACCTCTCTCTCCACCTACCTACCATATAAAGAGGGGACATCTGAAACCCTACGTAGGATTCTAAATAAAGCAGGAATTAGAGTAGCATTTAAACCTACAAACTCACTCAGGTTGGACAAGCTCTGTAGGTTAAAGGACCCTGTCGGTTGACCCAATTAGACAAAATAATATAATTTACAAAATACCCTGAAATGACTGTGAGCTACCTCAACTACATAGGTCAAACTAGTAGGTCAGGGGTAGTCAGATTGTCGGAACATAAGAATTTAGCTAAGGTAAGAATGGTTGACCCAGAGAAGATAAGTAATTTAGAAAACAGCTCAGCAATTGCAATGCATGCATTAGCACACAACCACACAATAGGGTGGGAGAGGGTTAAAATTCTAAAAAGTAATCTAGGTAGGTGGAGAGAGAGGTTGATTACTGAATCTTTGTTCATCGAATCTACACCCAACACATGCAATAGGATTGATTTATCACTAATACCCGAAATATGGAAAATAATACTACCAATCAAATCAAGTTAAAATCAAGTGAAAAACAATGGAACTATATAAATGAATTTAGGAAGTCGTGTGATTACCTTGATATGATTATGACCGGCAATAAATTGTGCTCGAAACGTCATCATCAGTAAATATTACTGTATAACACTGTGAGACTCTATCAAAATAAAATTTACCCATAATGGAATTACAAGTCAATGTGTGACTACTAATTGAACTGATACGCTGGTTCTAAATGATTATAATTTCATTTAACTAATTAGTGTTATCACTCTCCTCGATCATGTAGGATTATTTGCCATCTATCAGATATTTTATTTCTGAAAGATTGACAATAACCAGACATTCGAAGGAGGTCATTTTTTTTCACTTATCCCGGCAGCATTGTTTCAACAACTACATGAGGCATAGATGAAGATGTGAAAGGCAAGATCGAAAATAGAGAAGACAGATAGACAGGCATTACTACGAAATCGGTGTGGAAATCTGCTACAATCACAGCATTAGGAACGAAATTCGGCTTTTTAAAGACAAATGACACGTGCCTCATAAAAGGCATTTCCAACAGGCTCTTGCAGACTTCCATTAAACAGATTCCTTTACCACCTCCTTGTTGAAGATAAGATGGCCAGAGGTGATCAGAAACAAACAACTCTGGTAGCAAACGAACCAACAAACAGTCTATCACCCTACCAAAAATGAAGAAGCAAATACAGATCAGACACACGCTGAGGAGACCACTGAGTGACATCGGGCGCTAGGACTTTGAGTGGGACTAGAAAGGAAAACGATGTGTTTGCCTTCAAAAGGTGACATACAGGAGGTCGTGTGAGGGGAAGATGCCATATAGTCCACTTGCAAACCAAAGGAATAATAATAATTACTGACAGTAACCTCTGATGATTGCTGACAATTAACATTGTATAAAAATGAACTCAATGAATATCTGTGCAGCTTTGAAGAGAAGTCAGGAAAAGAGACCTCTTTGCTGTTTTCTCCATATTAGTCTATCTATTTAACCATTTTATCGAAAAGAAATCTGGTTCAAAGCTGATCAACTCGTTCACATAAATGAAATAAGTAAACATATAAAGCTCACATCACCTAGACTTCTAAGTCTACTAGTATGTATAATATATCTGTATGACAAACACAAAAAACACGTAGTTCAGCGAAGAGTCTCTTTTCGACGAATTCATTTTCTTAACTGTACAACTGCATATATATATATGAGTTATCTTGTATGCATGTGTACATTAAGTTTGCCAAACGCATCTGTAGTCCCGATATTCTAGAAACATATTTAAATCTTTTGAGAGAAATCTTCATCCGAAATGGATACCCACCAAGATTCATTGACAAAACTATCAGATCAAGAATTTGAAGGAATGAAACTTCACTTGCGCCGAAAAAGAAACTTTATATGAACTTGGATTTCAAGGGAGAATCAACAAGCGACACTCTCAAGAGAAGGATAACATCAACTCTGAGAAGACCATTCTTTGTAACAACGCCCACTGATCTGCAGAAGCCAGCCTTAAGGACAAGACCACTTTTATGTCCATATATCAGTTCACCCGCTGCTGTGGAGTCAGGTACATCGGTCATTTGACGCACATCCTATCCAAGAGAGAGGATTCAAGAACACTATCCAGCATGGTTGTGAAAAGGCAATAGTGGTGCAATAAGGAGTGCGATAATTGAACACCTGGTTAACACTGATCATTCCATCTTAACAAACGTCTCCTGCTTCAAAGTAATCTACAGAGTCAAGAATAACCTAACAAAGGCAATACGGTTTCGTCTTCTTTGTATAGCTGAAGCTCTGGCCATTCACATAGAAAAGCCGGAGCTGTGCATAGAAAAGAGAATTACTCAACCACTTCTACTGTCATGGTAACAACTTTATTGATTTTTGATGACTTAATTTTGTTTGTTTGCCTGTTTCTTTAATTGCTTATAATTCTTGTATTCATTTAGAACTCTTACGAAATTTCATATTCTCTACGTTGTTCGCATTTGTATCCTGAGTACAACTCAATCATCAAACTATTCATATTATAACGTAACTCCTTTTTAACAACAGTTTGTGACAACTCATCACCTTTGTGGCTACACTAGTTTCTTGCGTAACTCTGCCCATAACTTACTAATTTTCACTTTGTTTAGTTAAAATAACCATAACTAACTGTAATTTTGTTTGACAAACTTAATGTACACATGCATACAAAATAAATCATGTATATTTGCGATGGTACAGCTAAGAAAATGAATTCGCAGCCGAAAAGAGACTCTTCGCTGAACCACGTGTTTTGTTTTCATTATTGCCTGGAAGGAGATTATTCATAAATTAAAACACAACAAAACACATGAGATATCATAGATTATAAATTATTATTATTATTATTATTATTATTAGAAACACAGAAACTTACCGTGCAGCAGCATATCTTGTTGAGAAAGTTACAAATGCTATACCAATAGGTGTTTTAAAAGCAATATCATACTCCTTATCGATTTCTTCTTGAATATAATGATTTCTGCTTTCATAATAATCGATTGCATCCACTGCTGGTGTGCATGCACAACAACATGAACAACTATTTGTCAAGGCTATTGTTCTATTATACTTATTATTATTACTGTTATTATGAATACTAGTAGTGTCTGCTGTCTCTGACCATGGGATTGGACTATCATCTGAAGGATAGGCAAATTCTGGACTTTGTTCAGTATATGTTTCACGCCAACAACAATCACGACAAAAATTATTTTTATAACACTTTTTACACATCCAACCACAACACCGTGGAATGATCAGTGGACGTCGACCTTTTTGTTCATAACTTTCTATAGAATATTTCAATGCAGTTCGAAGACTATCTCTTTAGGAGAAAAAAGGAAAAGAAAGAAATTTAATGTAATTACAGTGTTATTGTTAAGAAACTTATATATATATATATGTCTCAGCGAATATTTCGTCTGACTTTTTACATTAAGAAGTTGAGGCACTCAGGTATAACCCAACCCCTTCTCTTACAGTTTGTCAACTCGTGTATTTTACCTATTCTTTTTTACTCTTCACCCTTATTCTTTCCTGGATTGCTTGAAAAAGACTGTCATACTTCGTATAACTCTGAAGACCGTCAGTAGAACGAGTGGTATCCCATTGGGCCATATCGTTGACATTGTCACTGATAGGCACTCGATTTCATGCAACAAATTTGCTAAAGGAATTTTATCAGACTCTGAGCACCCACTCTACTCGCAACTCCAGCCTTGTGTCTCCTCAGGTAAAACAAGAAGTCTTTTCAGAAGACTTTATACTCGTACGTCTAAGTATAAAAATTGCACTAAACCATATTTAGCACGTACTTTATGTGATGAAAATAGTGTCAGGCATTAACTAATTAACTAACCTTCTTAGCACCACTAAATAAAGCATTTCCTTCAACCTCAAAGCATTATACTTTATTGTTATTGTATTTCTTATACTTATAATCCTCTCAATTTTTTCGTTTTGTTTATTTTTTTCATAAGTGTGAACATCATTTAAGCTGTATTATGACTGTTAACTTTGTATTTCACCTCACTATACTATATCAACAGAACATTAGACCCAATAATCTATAACACGCTAAAGTTTCAAAAATGAATCGACAATACCGTTTGAAACAAACTGTTATTATTATTATTATTATATTTAATAATCTCAATTCGTGCTTCGAATATTTTTGACTTTTTATCGTAAATGTGGACGAATACCTGCGGTTAATTTAGTTTTAATTTTAAATTTTATTTATATTTTGAGTAAATCAGATGCAATATTGTGACAAATGCTGAGAATTCCATTCTGTATTATAAGTACTGTTTTTGGAATAAAGTAGATTATTATTATTAATATTATTATAATCATATATACGTAAACATAGATACATGAACACTTAAATATAAAAACACAAACAATCTTTCTCAAAGCACATGAAAGTTTCGATGCTTGTGTGCTATTGATTTTTATTTTTTTTTTGAAAACGCTTGTTACATTATTGTTTTTAAGAGGGTAAATGCCGACAAAATACATCGCTTTGATTGATAAAAGCATTCTACTCGAACTCATGAAGTTAGCCAGGTGAGAGCTTATGGAGTGTTACCATCTGGAGTGGTGACAGTCACCAGTGTGTCCGCCGTCAAAGATGCCCACTATCACCATTTAGGTTCAATTTCATCATGTATGCTCTAATGGACTTAACTCTAACGGACTTCAGCGACTCAGGGATTGATTTGTTACGAGGGAATAGCCTCGTTAACTCAGGATATGCAGATGATATAGTCCCTTTAGGCGAAGACGCTGATAAAATAGAGCAGAGTCTTCTGAACACCTTGAACAGCAATCTTCGAGTGGTTGACATGCGATTTAGTCCTGCTGTCAAATGTAAGATGATGCTTGCTTCCTACAGGACTGGAATACACCGACTCCTAGATTAAAGATGGGGAGTGAAGTGGTAAAGCGTGTTGACCACTTCACTTATTTGAGGAGTTGCATCAGATCCAACAGGTTGATGGCTGACGAAATCTCAGCACGGATACAGAAGGCTCGTTTGGCGTATGCCAACTTACGCAGTCTCTGGCGTAGATGTGATTTTCGGCTATCGACTAAAAGACATGTGTACTGCTCAACAGCAGTTCGCTCTGTCCTCCTTTATGACTGGTAGTCAGACATGGCAATTCAAAGTGGAATACATGAAAATCCCGACTAGATGTCTTTGATCATAGGTGTCTGCGTTCAATCTCCCATGTTAGGTGGTATTATAAGATAACCAATACTGAAGTTAGGCATCGGTCGACTGCTAGGTAGGTGTGGAACGGAAAATCAATCGACGAGGTTGTGAAACTACATCGATTGAGATGGTCAGAACATGTGTTGCTGCACATGCCTTGACATCCATCACCTTCCTCGACAATGGGCAATGTTAGCTGACCGGCAGAGGATGGATCAGGTTGGAAAACAGCCAGCTAGTGGTGGTCAAACCAAAACATGGTCTCATCATCAGTCGACGAAAATCCACGTAGGAAGGTGTAGACTGGCTTCCTGGTTGGTGTCATCGAGATAGTAAAAACCAATGATGGCTGGAGACATTTGGGGGTATGGCTCAAAATCGTTCTAAATGGCTGACGCAGTTCCATTCACTCTTCGTAATTTATAATATCCAATAAAGCTCCATTGTTCTTCCATATCAATATTTTTTTCCTTTCCAACTTCTCTTTATTAGCTGTCTTTCTTTTGAATCTCTCTTTTCTCTCTTCTCTAGCTTTGTGTGCTACATGGAGTGTAGCGACTCAAACGTTTGCAAATCTGCGCAAAGTTCTACGTCGAAACCAGTCAGTCAATCACTAAGAGGGTGAGCCACACAAAATCTTATAGTTTGTGCGACAGCTGAGGCACTTAAATCCCGGATGCCCAGATTGAAGTAGGTGATTGCCTTAAGGTGCCATCCCCACCCCTTGAATCTTTGACATAAACCCTGATCCACAAGGTAGTGGAGCGGTGACGGGAGCTGTATTCCCATGGTTTCCGGTGACCGAAACAAGTTCAAACACCATTCGATTCGTTCAGATTCTGGAGCTCAGGACTGGAATCAGGGTTTCGCAGCTCCACTAGGTAGATCAGAATGTATACAACTTCACTTGTGGGTCTCACACATTCGCATAAGGCCTTCGACTTCAGTAAGAAGCATAGTCGTCACATGAAGGCTGTGAACAGGATTCATATGTCTGTCTGTCTATTTCGACATAGAACTTTGCACATAAGTGCGTCAGTTCAAGTCACCACACTCCCTCCATTTAGCACACAAAGCAAGAGAAAGTAGAAGAAATGCATAGTATAGACAGTAAACTGAGGTGTAAGACAAAGGAATAGTAATAACGAAGAACAATATGGTTTCATTGGAAATCATAAGTCACAAAGAGTGGATGCATCTACACCAGCCATATCACCAATTGTCTTCAGCCATTAGTTTTTACCGTCCCTACGTGGCTTAGACTAACTGTTGTGGATTTCATTGACTGGTGCCATGTTTTGGTTTGACCACCGCTAGCCAACTCTTTTCCAGCCTGACCCTATGTCAGCTAACATTGCCCAATGTCGAGGAAGGCGATGACTAGGCACACGTAACACATGTCCCAACCATCTCAGTCGATGTAATTTCACAGTCTCGTCGACTGATTTCCCCTCCCACCTACCTAGCACTCAACGCCTAACCTCAATATTGCTCACCTTATTATACCACTTCATACGGGAGATAGAACGCAGGCTCCTATGATCGAACAAAGCTAATATTCTTATGTCTTCCGCCCTCAATGGCCAAAAAGGAGGATGGAGCGGACTGATGAGCAGTACACCCACCCTTTGGTCGATAGCGGGATATCACCTCTACGCCAGAGGTGACGTAAACTGGCATATGCGAAACTAGCCCTCTGTATTCGTACTGAGATTTCGTCGGAGATCAACCCGTTGGGGCTGATGGTACTTCCCAAGTAAGTGAAGCGGTCAACGTGCTCTACCATTTCACTTCCTATTTCTAATATAGGGGTCGGTGTAGTCCAATCCTGCAACATCATCTTTCATTTGGCGGGAGCGAATCGCATGCCAAACATTTAGTAGATTGCAGCTCGAGGTGTTCAGAAGACTCTGGATTTTGTCAGCGTCCTCGCCTAGGAGGACTATATCGTCCGCATATTCTAAGGATTCATCTGACACATGCTATGAACTTGTGGTAAAATGACAGTATTTCAAGCGAAAAACTGTGAGTCTAAAAGTGTAAAAAGAGGAGTCACTAGTATTCTGTAAGAGTTGTACACAGTTTTCCTAAACTTACAAATTATAGTAAGGTAGAGTTTGAAAGATAAATGCTGAGTGCCACCACTACACAATCTCAAAATATGACGTAGTGATTGAACACCACTTCAACTCCTCATTACTAAACTTAACGCATATTCATACTAAAAATAAATTAGATTAATTCACTCGATAGTCTGAAGGGTTTTACTAATTATGAAGAAAAAAAAGATGATGATGAAATCTGTATTTGACACAAATGAAGATATGACTGTTTGGCCAATAAAGCATTCGACTTTCAGTCGACGGCTGTGACATTCAAATTCCGCCTCTCACCTAATTCAACATTGGCTAATAGGTGTAGCATCATTAGTCATCAAAGAATAAGTCCGGTTTATAGCCTGGTACATGAGAAACGCCTATCAGAGAGCGCGCTGCGTCCGTGTAGTTCAAGAGTAGAATTCTGGCAAACCACGCGCACGTGGTCCATGGTTCAATTCCTGGCCAAATCACACTCTTAAACTTTGTGTAGACGATTGTAAGTCAGGCAAATAGGGAAGGTTGAGCCTGAAGCTAACAATCCCCCCCACCCCGTAAAAGACACTACTGACACCGAAATTCTAAAGCCAAAGCTTGAAACCCTTTGTTCCACTCGTAATGCAAAGGAATAAAAGTGAGGAATATACTATACAGTTTCCTTTAGTCCTAATACAAAAATAAAAATAATATAAAACGAATAAGAATATTCAAACCTAATTGATGGAATAACTGAGTAGATGAGGTTAACATTATCAGTGGTGGCGATGGTGGTAAAAGTCGCGAATTGACAAAAAATTTAGAATTCATGGATTGTTGTTGGATTCCATCCTAGTAATTGAATGGTCAACGACCCTGGCATCGTCACCTGAAAATATTAGACTCAATCCCCTTTGCGATCACGTGTCCATAGCACTGAAGAGTCCCAAGCCAGAACGAAACATTAGTCCAGTACTACCGAGTTTCCAATGCTGCTCTAATTAATATCAATCGGCGATCAAACTTCAAACTAATCAGCTCCCTACAACCTGACACCTGAACGTTCATTAGTTATTGTGTAATTGAATACACGAAGAGTTGAAAGGAAAGATCTACCTACAGGTGTCTGCAAGCTTGTTGGTTTATATTAAGAAAACGTACAAAAGAAAATATTCCCCAGTTAAGAACAGAAGTTGAACACTAATTAATGGATGAAACAAAACAAGTACCATATGTTACCCCTAAGAGCTGCAAAGTTTTGATGATTTGAAGTGACCATGAAAATTTGTTTAATTTAAATTCATTCAGCATAATTAAGGTACAAGTTAGCTGTCCTAGTCGAAACTGTAGCGATTACTTCTTCAGTTAATTTTCGACAAGGTTATTTCACACCACATAGTCTATGTTTATCTTCATTCATACACACAAAACTTGAATATCTGATCCCTACTCAACTTTTAATTATTATTATTATTATTATCATTTAAACTCATCAATATTTATAACTATTACGTAACATGCGTTATCTAATTCTTTTTTTTGCTGTTTAACTTTATTCAAGTTCATTAGGGGAAAGAATTGCATGAATATAGGGAAAAGACTACTTTCTAAAATCTATTATTAAGTGGTAAATACAGTGATGACAAATCACAAAACCCAAAATCAATACTATTATGACATCCAAATGGAAGCTATAATTCCTACTAAATGACCAGGCGATTGACAATCAACAACAATATTTAAAATGTACCACCATTCTCAAATGACCTATTGACCTAAAACATATTTATTGATTAAATAATACAAAGTGAAAATTAAGGACCATTGGATTCTTTGGAGGATTTCATCATTAGCTGACATCGGTTAAAGAACCATTGGAAAACCAACAGGGAGTACTCGATAGCTGTTTCGCCCTAGTTCGGGACTCTTCATCGGTACGCACCCATCGGAGTCTGAACCCAGGAACTTGTGGTTACACGGTGAGCTCGTATATCATTCACCCACTGGGACCCGATCAAATAGCCAGCCCATGAATTCCATCTTCTGCCAATTCACGACATAGCGGGACCACTAACCAGTGTCATCCCTGGCGAGTATTTGTCCTCACACCCGACCTGCTGCACCCTACTGGTCACGACTTCTCACCAGAACCCCAGGTAACTACCTACCTGTATAGGGCAAGTCACTAGTGAGCATCTCATTGATATTGAACAGAATGTTACTGTGATAAGGGTATACAAAACACCAGGAGTGTTTAAGTAAAGTCTACAGTATGAGAAAGTTAATTTCATACATTAGTAATTATTATTCTATATACATATAAATAACTTAAGAGATGGGGTAAACAATCAATTACGCTTTCTTCACAATTAATCCATGAAAATTTATAGCCGAATACTATTGATTGACATGTGAGCCGAGATCAATGAACAAAAACACAATAAGACATATACAGTAACCTATTGCCTGATATTAAAACTAAATATATTGACAACATGTTAACACCGTGATGACTAGACTAGCAGCTGAGCCTCGTAAATCAATTAACCGATCATCACTGGAGCTGGTAATCTCAATCCTGTGAGATGCTGCAGATTTGTAATTTCACGATTATATCATCTCACATTACATCAATAAGACATTTGGTTAAAAGAAAAAACGAACATCACAACAGGACCCTGGTAATGAACAAATCGAAAAACCTATTGTGCCTAACGAATATGCCGAAGGAAAGAGAGATGGATTGATTGACTACACACTGAGGTGACTGTCAAGTGACATTTTAGGTGCCGTGCAGGCCTCGAGTAAAGCTCGAATGAGGGCGTCCAAGGGTGACATAGAGGCGATTGTATTAGGACGGCATGAAATCTTATGGTCAGTAGTACAGCCAGATGTTGAAGTTTTATGTTCCACTCTAAGCCCAAAGGAATAATAATGAAATAACACTGGACAGCTGTCCCCTTCCATTTTGGGACTCCTCAGCAGTGCGCACCCATGACCCCAAGTGGCAACGAACCTTGGACCTTCAAGTTATGAGACCCAGCTTTTTCAGCATTCAGCGATTTGAGCAGGAGAATTCAATGATCCATAAATTCTAACTTTCAAGTGTTGGTTTGCAAGGATTCTATTGGTTCCAGGTTTCATCATGAACTGACATCGGCTAGAGGATTATTAGAAAATCTGGGAGTATTTCACAGCGGTTTCGTGCTAGTTCGGGACTCTTAATCAGTACGCACTCAGTGTGGTTCGAACCCAGAACCTTCTGAGTTTTAGTGGGAAGTCGTGACCAGTGCGGTACAGCAGGTCAGGTGTGAGGACAAATACTCGTCAGGGATGACACTGGTTGGCGGTCCCGCTATGTCGTAAATCGGCAGAAGTTGGAATTCATGGACTGGCCATTGGATCCAATCTCAGTGGCTTAATGGTCTACGAGCTCACCTTGTAACCAGAAGTTCCTGGGTTCGAATTTCAATGGGTGCGTACTGATGAAGAGTCCCGAACTAAGGCGAAACAGCTGTCGAGTACTCCTAGTTGGTTTTCCAATGATCTTTTAATCGATGTCAATTCATGATACAGCGCCACCTTCAACCTATGTCTTTTGGTGAGCATCCACTTCACCCTGATATAATCGATTCTACAGGTCATGAGTAATCAATATAGCTTTAGAACATCCATTCAGCAACTATCAATGAACCGGGAATTGATATTTAGAAACAACTGTCCATTTCTCCCTGATATTCAATTATCTCTGTAAATGATATTGGTTCATAACGAAATCTACACTGGAATTAATCCAAATCTCTACACAATCTGATAATATAAACTATACACTGTTTACAAGAATAACTCCTACTCCGCTTTCATCAAAGTATAATTAATAATAATACAAAATAATTTACCTTTCATTTTCAAGTTTTATCAATTTACGTATATCATAGCAAATTTGCACATCTTCAACAGGACAGTCAGGGTAAAGTTCACTATTATTTTTTGTGAGGGGAAAAAAAGAAAAGATTAAAGAGACAGTAAGCAAAGAACAAAATATGTTATGGGTGTCAAAAGGTGCACCACATAAAAACAATATTTTTTTAAAAAAAAAACAACATATCGAAAAGACAGAATGACTGATGAACACCATCATGACTGATTGACTGATTGGTTTCAACATAGAACTTTGCATCGATGTGCAACAGTTCGAGTCGCTACACTCCACTCAGCACACAAAGCAAGAGAAGAAGAAGAAAGTAAAAAGAAACACAAAATAGTGACAGTAAAGAGAGATATGAGGCAAAAAGAATAGTAACATAGAAGAACAATATACTTTTATTGGGTAATATAAGTCACAAGGAGTGGATGCATCTACACCAGCCATTGAAAACGATTTTGAGCCATGTCACCAATTGTTTCTAACCATTAGTTTTTACCCTCCCGAGGACCCCGACCAGGAAGTCTACACATTCCTACGTGATTAGCTTAAACTAACTGTTGTAGATTTCATTCACTGGCGCCATGTTTTCGTTTGACCACCACTGGATCTTTTCCAATCTGACTCTATGTCAGCTGACATTGCCCATTATCGAGGAAGGCGATGGCTAGGCATAAGTAACACATTTCCCAACCCTCTGAGTCCATGTAACTTCAAAGCCTCGTCTGTTGATTTCCCCTCTTTACCTAGCACTCGACGACTTAATATTCCTCACCCTTTTATACCATTTCACACGGGAGATAGAACACAAGCACTTATAATCAAAGACAGCTAGCCGGTCTTTTCATGTCTTCCACTCGATTATGAAAACAGGCAAGCATACTGATGAAGAGCATTCAAAGGGGCGTGCATTGAATCATATTACTCTCACAGACAGACGATAAGGGGAAATTTCCACATGTTCGCCAATGACTGATTACGACTCTTCGACATGTATCTACCAGCGTCTAAAGCCACTCATTCGGATCATCTCCCTCTCTCGCATCCCAACCCCGTGGAGTCATGATGCACCAATAAATGCTAACCTAACACAACTGTCCATCAACCCACAGTTTAGGTTGACCACCTCTCTTCTTTTTCCAACCAGTTTAAGAGCTCGAAATTAGCGAACGGTATGGGAGCTGCTAGATGTCTAAGCCATCGATACCGGTGTTCAAAGATGACAAGGTTTATTGAAAGATAATCTCCATTGTGTTCAAACACACACTCGAACTTCAGAGTTACCTGCATGAAAGTGCAACCAGTTCTACGCAGATATACTGATAATCTATTACTGAGTTACTGGAAATCCTCAGCCTGAGGAGGTCAAGTTCCACAGATGTATAGCAAGAATAACACCACGAAAGCATTCTAAATCTGACTTTTGATGGTCAGGCTACCGTTGTGATGGTGATAGATCTTCGATGTACCGTTAGAGATTTCATCAGTCATAGCTCAACCGATAGTCAAACAATTTACCTAGATGTACAGAATTATCAACTACTTCTAACAGTTCACTTGTAAGATTAAATGCAAGTACAGGCTCCTAGAACAGCGCTTCATCTAGACGTCGAGATTAAATGAAAACACATGTGTGTGTCGATCTTCACTGAGTGCCTCCAAAGCCTCAGAATGGTCGGGGGTGGGTGCCTTGCGCTGTGGGTTGGCCACCCCTCCGCACACCTCTTGAAATGCTCCCATATGACCGGGCGTCTTACATAGCCTCTCCTGAGGAAGTCCTACTCACTGCCTTCACGTGGCGGAGGTGTTTTTTCACCAAAGTGAGAGGGCGAAAGCGGATGCCCGGCGCTCTTCACCGGGTTGACTGTCCATTGGATGACAGTCTAGGGGAGATGGCTAAACCCTCATTCCAAACCTCCAACGACTGGCGTATGAAGCTCACTGGAGCTCACCGGCAGACGTATGGACAAAGGGCTTGTTGGATGTCTGGCCCCATTCAAAAAGGCGTATGAACCGAACTCCGGTCACCGGCTTCCAATGGATAGTGGACTCCCTACTCCACTCCTACTGCCTTGTAGGTCACACTTGGTTGTGTAAAGGCTAGAGCTGCACTCTCAAACAAAAGGCCGAGCGATTCTGGGGACATCACTTGTACCAAATTCCCATGAAACTTCATGAACTCTCTTACAAACGATTCGAGATGTTCATGAAGCCGGCTCATCCTCCTGTAGGAGATAGCTGAAGTAAAGTAAAAGTAAGTAGCTACAAAAGTTGAACAGTTGAAGTAGACCGAATACATCGACGTTACATACAAGGTTCTATAACCAGATGGAGGAAAGTACAACCATTCCACTAAGGGCTACATGGGAGAGAAATGATACTATGGATAAAGAGTAATGTGAAGTACAGAAGTACACCAGACCGGGGTAATCATGCTCTACGTGTACAGAAGGATTAGAAAACTGTAAAAAGTTCTCATAAGTGTAAATAAGTAATATAAAAATAGTTTATAAACTGTACTATATACTCTAAGATAGAAGTACTTCAATAATGCTGTAAAGGGGGAATGTAAACAGACACTTCTATGCATTCATACCATATAGAATGTAGAATGAGTGTAGAGAAAAGGATGAGAAGGAGAGAAAGAGATTTAGTAGGGCGCCTATTGATTTTACGAGCCAACACAAACACACACAGAGATAACATTAGTGTGTGTGTGTGTGTGTGTGCAGTGAGTAAACAAATCTCAAGTGAACTTTGTTAACAATACATATTTAAATAAAAACTGCATCAACACTGACTTGTTAAACATACTTAAAGTTGTGAATAACGCTATGATGCTGTGTACACACATATATGTACTTATGTATTGTATGTGTATGTGTGTGATGAAATGACTATAATACACTGAAGTGTCGTCGTAATTAATTTACCCATTTTTTTCTTCTCTTGTAATTGCGACTTACTTACATTGTTTGAATAATCAAAGTACACGCGCGTTATTTGAGTATGCATTCTTCATTACTATGTTAACTATTCCCTTAAAAAACAGCATTATACTTGCTTTGTGAACACGTTTTTAATCAAGAAACAAACTTCAATGAAAACTTTGATCCAACACACACTTTTCAACACCAAATGTGACGATGACAACATAACCAACAATAACAGCAACTACAAAAAACGATTCACAGTTCTCTATTATTATAGTGGACTTCATTCTTTACTGTTCATATTTTACTGCGCTTTATATTTTGTTACTCTGTCATGTGCGAGAAAAGTGTTTTTTATTATTCTCAGTATGATTAGACGGATTTTTAACTGTTATTTGGCTCATTATTATTACTACTATTATTATTATTTCATTGGTTTTCTAGTGGGACAGTATACAACTCCATTTCATGGAGACGTGATATCCGGCTAACAACCAAAGGGCGTGTGTACTTGCTCACCAGCAGTTCGCTCTGTCCTCCTTTACGCCTGGCAGTCAAACCTGGCCATTGAAATTGGAAAATACGAAAAGGCCAGCTAGCTGTCTTTGATCGTAGGTGTCTGCGTTTTATCTCCCATGTTAAGTGGTATTATATGATAAGCAATACCGAAGTTAGGCATCGGTCGACTGCTAGGTAGGTGTGGAACGGAAAATCAATCGACGAGGTTGTGAAACTACATCGATTGAGATGGTTAGAACATGTGTTGCTGCGCATGCCTAGACATCCATCGCCTTCGTTGACAATGGGCAGTGTTAGCTGACCAGTATAGGATGGATAAGGTTGGAAAAGAGCAAGCTAGTGGTAGTCAAACCAAAACATGGTCTCAACATCATCAGTCGATCAAATCCACGTAGGAAGGTGTAGACTGGCTTCCTGGTTGGTGTCATCGAGATAGTAAAAACCAATGATGGCTCAAAATCGTTCTCAATGGCTGGTGCAGTTCCATTCACTCTTTGTGATTTATAATATCCAATAAAGCTCTATTGTTCTTCCATATTACTATTTTTTTCCTTTCACACTTCTGTTGATTATCTATCTTTCTTTTGAATCTCTCTTTACTCTCTTCTCTAGCTTTGTGTGCTACATGGAGTATGGCAACTCGAACTACTGCACATCTGTGCAAAGTTCTTCGTTAAAACCGGTTAGTCAGTCAGTCACTCCATTGCATTCTGTAATCTGCAGTCCTATTTAGCCAGCTCCACGATTACCCATAACCTTTCATTTCCTCCTCAGGCGATCTCTGGAGCGTATGTCAGTGTCAGTAGTCTCCTGCAGCGTGTGTCCACTCTATCTCTACTTCACTAAGCATATTTGTTGGGCGTATCGCGCGTTTCCAAAGTTCCTTGATTCTTATTCCTCCTCCAAACGACAATCTGATCATCAGTATAGAGTTAACGAAAGCAGTTGTTGGTAAATATCTGCAGTAGCCTGTTGGAAACGTTTCTGGTGAGATGAAAAATCTCTCAACCATATAGAAGTAATTACTGACTTGGCATTAGTATTGAAAATCCAAATCTTCCTTCTGAAGCTCAATGCAGAAGACTTCCACAGTGACTGCAGATTAATGAAGGTCTGCGTCGATAGCATAGAGGTGGAATGATCACCGACCACTCATGTGGTCCGGAGTCCGATCCCCGACCAACGCACTCCAAAACCCCATTAAGCCAGTAATAAGACTGGTAAAGAGAGAGGGTAGGGCATAAATAAGGCTAGTAACCTCATCCCGTAAAAATAAACACCACTGCTACTGAAACTTCAAGCCTCTAGTTTACAGCCCTATTTTCTACTGGGAACGTAAAGGAATAAAAACAAAAAAGAAGGTCTGTATGGCTTTTCTGATCCTGGCTGGCTTTGATGATGTCATTCATTTTGCCTTTAGTTGAAATGACACTGCCTAAATAAATGAAACCAGTGACTTCTTTTGCATATCCCCCATTATTTAGCGCAAATGGTTCATCAACCTGTCAGTAATGTGTTTTGAGCAGCTACGTAGAATCCCCTCCAGAAATCTGACCTTCAATAAAACTGTTCCGACATGTGCTCAGTTTAAGCCTGTTATTCTAGTTTCATCAGATCAGCAAAAAATAGACAAAGTTTAACCGGAACTTTGAAAAGTTTTGCTTTTAAATACATGATTCCAAAGATGCTCTCGTTTTCACAATAACCTCGTTATATTTCAACCGAAAAATTATTATCCATGCATGTCTACCCAGGAGTTCGAGGCATTAGGGAGTTTATACTAGCCAATATCAGTGTCCCACTATTTTTCTAATGGAGGTTTGTGAGGACTCAGATTAATTTCAGTGCGGATTTTCGGTCACAAACAAACACCAGTTAAAGACCAATGAAAACCAGCGAGAACTGGACAGATATTTCGTCCCACTTTGAGAATATTCACATGGGATCTAAACTACGACCTTCAAGTTACGAGGCTGACCCGTCGACCATTCAGACATGGCGCAGCATACAATCAGCGACGAATTGTAATTTCTACTAGTATTCATTTTCACATCCAGCCTGGTAGATCCCTCCGATGATTACCACTTCAGGTAGTTTGATCCCGTAGGCGGCGGTTACTAGCAGCTTTGGTGGAATGCCTGACGAGGTGGTGTGGGTGCCGAAAAACTGAAGAGCCTCAAACTGGGACGAAAGGGCTGTCCAGTAGTTCCCCCTGGTTGTTTCAATGGTTCTCTCTGTAATCAAACTTCAAACTAGTCAAATTCTCAAAAACTAACACTCTTGAAAAAATAGACACTTTAATAACTTACGCAAAATGCCTTAGAATGAGTGCTCGAGAAATATTGGTTCTTGATATCCCCCAAATCATTAGTGTCTTATCTGACTAAAAAATATATATATAAACATACAATACAGAAACAATGAATTTAGTAGTAGATTAATTGTTAAAATCCATCAAATACACAAAATAAAACAAAACTCTGTCTACACAAAATAGAGAATACTTGTAAACATGCGTAAACAGTAACCAGAAACTATAGAAAACAGTAGAGACAATGAACAATAAATGACTGAAAAACTGAAAAGCCACGAAGTTCCTCAAGAGCCCGTTTTCTTATTAATGCTACGGAACATGATATGCGAAAATTTGTCTGGATTCAACATAGAACTTGGCACCGAAGTGTAGCAGTTCCAGTTGCCACGTTCAAAATAGAACACAAAGGTAGACAAGGAAATGAGTAACGAGAATCAATAGAGTTTTGACAAGTATAAGAGTGAAACAGAATGAGTAATGGTAGAAAGGAATATGAGACTGAATATTACAGAGACTGAATACATCTGCGTAAGCCATTGACAACGATTTTGAGCCATGTCACCTATTGTCTGTCTTCAGCCATTGATTCTTAGAGTCCCGAGGGCGGGCCTCAACCCGGAAGTCTGCATCTCTCTATCTGACTCAGTTTCACTGTCAAGGATTTCAGGGATTGATTGATGCCATGTTTTTGTTTGGCCACAGCTTACTCTTTTCCAACCTGCACCTATAACAGCTAGTAATGCACATCGGGGGAGACGATGGACAGGCATGCGCAGCACGTGACCTAGCCATCTCAATTTATGTAACTGTATGGCCTCTTCGATTGATTTTCCCTCTTTGCCCAACACTCCACGCCTAACGTCAACATTACTCACCTTATTATGCCACCTAACGTGAGAAAGAGATCGTACACATCTATGATCAAAACAGTCAACCTTTTCATGTCTTCAACTCGTATTGGCCATGTTTCAGAGCCATAGAGAAGGACGGAGCGAACTACTGAGCAGTACACACGTCCCTTGGTTGATAGCCGGATGTCACGCCTACGCCAGAGATGGTGTAAGTTAGCGAAAGCAACCCGAGCTTTTTGGATCCGTGCTGAGATTTCGTCACCAATCAGTCCGTTGGTGCTGATACAACTTCTCAAATAGGTGAAGTGGTCAACATGTTCTATCACTTCACTCCCTATCACTAAGCTAGGGGTAGACGTAGTCCAGTCCTGTAGCAGCATCTTACATTTTACAGGGGCGAATCACATTCCAAACATACGAAGATTGCTGCTCAAGGTGTTAAGAAGACTCTTCGTTTTGTCAGCATCCTCCCCTAACAGGACTATGTCATCTGCATATTCTAAGTCCATAAGACTATTCCCTGGGGTAACAAGTCGATTCCGAAGTCGTTAAGTTCAGTTAAGGATAATTCCATTAGCATATCTTTGATGAAGTTTAATGGAAGTATGCGAAAATGAAGCTCTTTAACACAATTCCTAGCGTCAGTCAAAAATGTCAACAATCATATCCTTATCTATGTACTAAGTGTAAAGAGCCACGGTTATCGTTCGAGAAATAATGATACTATATATGTATGGTGAAACGTCAATAAATGCAAAGACTTTTGAATGTGTACTGACCCACTGGTTGTAAATCAAATGCCTACAACAACAAGCTACAGATCTTATCAATATATATCAGAACCATTGGAAAACCGGGGAGTACTGGGCAGTTGTTTCACCCTAGTACCCCCAACCAGTGGATGAGTGGCCTACAAGCTCGCCTTATAACTGGGAGATCCTGAGTCCCAACCCCAACGAGGGCTTAGTGCTGAAGAGTCTCAAACTAACACGAAATAGCTGTCCGGTACTGCCAGTTGGTTTTCCAATGGTACTCTAACTCATTTCAGCGCATGATCAAATCTGTTATCAATCATATCCCAATAAAGAAACCACCGCTTGGAAAAAAACATATAACTATTTCAAGAGTCCAATGAAGTTTTCAAATCAAACTTTATCATCTGCCTACTCTCCTCGCTACCTACCGATAATGCATTAAAATTTTCAACCATGGATTAATTCAGATGTCAAAAGTGACAGAGAAACTTGATACACACATCTCTGAATATCTAGTTACCAGCTCCGTGTTGCGTATGTTTCAACTACTCTGGAACAATGTGATTTTTGAAAAGATACATAATTCCCTGGAATAATTCGAGCTCTGAATCAGTCTGAATCAATCTTTGTTTCGATTTTCTAAACACGCTTCGATTACTTTAGGTAATTACTTTTTTCTAATACTATGTAATTTTTAGGTTATAAGAACTTCAGTATATAAATGAAAAGATACCCTCAGTTTTCTATTGAATTAGTACTAATTCATTCCACTGCATAATTTTCAGTCATTCAGGATGTTTAACACATACGACAGTCAAGTATCAATGAGAGGCTCACTAGATAGTTACATGGGGGTTCTAGTCGGAAGCCGTGACCAGTACGGTACAGCAGGTCGGGTGTGAGAACAAATACTAGCCAGTGGTGACATACGCTAGTGGTGGCGCCGTATCGTGAATTGGCAGGAGATGGAATTCATGGGATGGCCATTGGATCGGTTCAGGTTCCAGTGGCTTAATGGTCTACAAACTCACCTTGTAACCAGAAGGTCCTGAGTTCGAACCCCTGTGGTGGGTGCGTACTGACGAAGATTCCCAAACCAGTGGGATGAGCACAGCTGTACCGTACTCCCAGTTGGTTTTCCAATGGTTCTCTAACTGATGTTAGCTCATGATGAAATCCTGTAAACACACTACAGTATATGAGTTAAACTTATTATCCCTAAAGACTATTCATCTATACGCAATTTAGTAAGTTGAGCGAACTCCAGTCCTGTAGATTATTTGCTTGTTATATGCTGAATGTCTAACTCACACAGTACCAAATTACTAAGCATACATAGGTAATTATATCTGACTGCAGTTGTACAACTAAGTGAACGAATTCACTGGATAAGAGATTCTTCACTCAACTGCTTGTTCTTGTTTCCATGCCTGGATGGGTAGTGTGTAAAAATAACCCGTCCATCGAACAACATGCTCTTTGGTGCAGTCAAAAGTCGACGACAGATACCCTTCTCAGGTTAACTCCAACTGTGTATACAAATTTACGTGTATCTACGGGAGCAGTTACATTGGGAGAACAGAAAGAAGGACACACCTCCGATTTTTTGAACATATGCCGAAAAGTCTATGTCTCAAGGGAACAAACTCTCATGATAGCGCTATTACCAGACATCTCCTCAATATGGGTCATGACGTGGAAATCGCGAAATCTATAAAATTATCAATAGACAAAGGAGCTCGATTCTTCTCAAGTTTGCTGAAGCAATTTCTATCAAACGCTTGAAACCAGATTTATGTGTTCACAAAGAAGCAGTTATTAGTCTTTCCTTGTCATGATAACTGCATGTCTTTATTCCCTCTTTCATTTGATTACGTAATCTTTCTCTTTAACCTCACCCACCTTTTATAATCTGTAATTTTGCTTGTCTCTTGTTTCTATGATTTGAGTTGAACTCAATAGATTGTTGCCTAATTTATTAGTCACTCTGCATCTTATGCATTTCTCGTCCTCATTACGTAACTCCCTCACCATTGTATGCTTACATTTATTTTGTTTAAACTTGAACTGCCTGTATAAAAACTATACAAGCGCAATGCTCTGAGCACTGTTCACTAATCGTGGAACTTTCTGTCAACTAACAACATGTAAAATTTGCAAGTATGTTAGAACTTTTCCGTACATAAACCTCATAATTTATTTAGGTTGTAAGCAGCTGTGCTGATGAGAAGCCAACGAAATACGCAATGATGGTACCATATTATTCTGCACAAACCACTGTTGTTTTTGCTTTAATCAAATTCATCAAGGGGAATAAATGCATGAAGTAACTCACTCAGAGAGAGAGAGCTGAGCACTTTTTTCCGACAAAAGCTAAACACGCCAAAAAAAGGTAACAAGCCAACTTACAAAATTTAATGTTCGATTCGATTCCCGACGAAACTGCCTGGAGAAATGTTGCATTAGAAAAAATGCCAAGAGAAAAAATCCAATAGCAAATATTGTGTGAACCCATAGACTGGAAGAATTACTGGATATATTTGATATTGTTGTTACACCGAACTGTTGTAAGTCAGGAGCTGAAGTTTTAGAGAGAGAGAGAGTAAAAGAAAAAACAATTAGAAATCAAAATTCAGATTAAGGGATTTGGATTAATTGAATTTCAATTGCTGGAGCTGCGGTGGTAGGTACAGTGGTAGAATGCTGGCCAATCACAGATCTGGTGTGGAGTTCGATTTTTCTTTCGCGAACTAATCAACACAGAACACTGGGCAGGTATATCACGAGTTGACGAAGATAGAACTGACGAGTCACTGAATTCTGGCCCAAGTGATTGATTGGTCAACAAGTTTTGTCTCGTAACTTGAAGATCAGAGGGGGTTTCATCCCTAGCGAGATTGTGGGCGCACACTGCTAAGGAGTCCAAAACCTCCGACTTTCAGTAATCTCTCTAACTGATGTTGGTTCATAACGATATCTAACAAGTGGAATTAAATTATAAATTTATGGCAATTAGATTAGGTGAAGATAGGCTACTGATCGTGTTACCTCAACCAAAGGCTGTCACCTTGAAGTAGTGGTAATCGTGCTAACACATAGCAGTGACTCAACAAGCTAAATTGGCTGGAACGAATGTCTCTGCACTTCTTACTATGCCAGAAAGGTAAGCTGAATAGAAGTTAAACTAAAGGAAGTTACAAATCATTTAAACTATGTTGGAGGTCTGGAAGTGAAGTCGTAATTTCGGTGAATAGGAGCGTAGAAGCAGTGAGGTACTTGCCTGGAACGACCACTGTGGGGACCGGAGGCTTAGAAACCGTCGACCCCCAAAAATCCTACATCACAACTCACTCTGAGATGTTCCGCAAACAGCAGTGAGGACTTCAAATACACAACTATGAAAACCACTCTAAACATTTCATGTGTGTGACCAGTCTCAGGTTTTGTGGCTACGCAACACTCATGCTCGTCGTGCTGTAGATAACCCAAGAAATGAGATCTTAGAAAGTCTAAATAAACGAAAAGCTCAACCAAAACAGCCTGCTTTTATGATTTTTAAATTTTTCAAATAGAATTCATATTCATAAACACACTAATATGCAAGATAGTGGATTGTATGTCTGTGTTTACGGTAGAGTTATTAGTGCCCAAGGTCATCATTCTTAGAATAGAATAGAAGTTTTGTGAATAAATTTCATCTCCTGAACTTCAATTGGTGGATAGTGAAAAGCGTTTCGTCCTATCCAGGACTCATCAGTTAGATGTATTTGAAACCCCTAGTGAGCGATGACATTTCCACTGAGATTCAAACTCAGCACCCATTTGTTTTGAAACAACAAAGCGTTAGTAAAAGAGGCTGAACTTCTTGAACCACTCAGTTGGAAAAACAAAATTAACTTAAACAAATAAGAACGGACACGCCCTGAACAACAGGTGGCTCTCGTGGCCAAATAGCGTTTGAAACTAAGTGGGGTGAGGTCGATTCCCCAGTGGGAACATTATTACTAACTGGAGATTGCAGAAGCACACAGACGACAAGTTCCAAATAAGACGAGATGTAAATCCTGGATTCTATTGCTAGTCACCCACTCATCAAATATTATTATTATATAATCATTGTTTCCTTTAATTCCTAGAGGAACATACGGCTTCAGCCATGCGTCTCCATTGCGTTCGCTTCTCTGCTAGAGTCTTCACCTGGCTCCAAGTCTGCCCACACGCTTTCATCTCCTCTTCACATGACCTCCTCCAAGTCACCCACCCTCGCACTGACGACCAACTCGTCGCTTCCCTTTCAGTCGGGTTCCACTCGACCAATGGCTTGTCTAGTGATGTCACTCACTTGATGGTTTGTTTCTTCAGAGTATGGCCAGCCAATCCATCTCCACTTCTTCCTGCCTATTTGTTTCACAATCGGTTCCTGCTGAGTTGGTTCGCTCATTGCCAGAGATCTCTATTGCGGATCTTTTTTGGCTGGTCATCTGATCTTGAGTATTGAGCGAAGACAACTGTTAATGAAGGTCTGTAATTTGTTTGAGATGCTCTTTATGACGCGCAGTGCAAGTCTCTGATCCATATCGTGAGTAGCACTGACTTCACATTGGAGTTGAAAATCCGGACCTTATTTTCATTTTCGAGCTGAGTGCTGTTGACCTCCACACAGACTTGAGAGTAGTGAAAGGTTGTCTTGCTTTTCCGATTCTTGCTTTGATATCCTCGTCAGTTTCATCGGCCCGTAGTTGAAACGATGCTTCCCAGGTAGGTGGGTAGGTGAAGGAGGTTGTTTCTTTCAGGTTCCTCCCATTTATGCTGATCGTTGTCTGTCGTTGTTGTTCTTGTCCAGGAATCTTCATTACCTCTGTTTTCTCTATGTTCACCTGAAGTCCTATCTTTGATGACTCATCAAATAACATGTTAATCCTCAGACGTTGTCAAAGCGCCCGCGCTGGGAGTCGACATTTCAACAGGGATCGAACATTTCGGTTTAATCAATCGACAAAAAAATGTGACTTAAGCTCATCTCTGAAGATGATAATGCAAAGAGCGAAAGTGTGAACAAATTGAGCATTGTATCCAATTTTAATAATATACGCAATGATAACCTTAGAGAATCTTTCTATCAACAGAAATATCTTTGACTTGCAATGCACAGATGGGGCCTCGTGAAGATGTGGCTCATTGGTTTAGACAGTTGACTTCTAGCCAGTAGATGCCAGATTCGATTTCCGCTCCATCTACTTCAGCTTGAGAAACTGAGTAGAATCACTAGCCTGCACACACACACAATAAGTGCGGTTTGCAGGTTGGCACATGAGTAATCAGTCGCAGGTAACTGAGTTCTAGCAACATATTTCTCTTTTGTATTGATTTTTTTCTTTTATTTTTTATTATTTCATTTTGAATACAGCTTGATTCCACACCGTATTTTCAGTACAAGTATGGAATTTTCAGCATGGATATCGGTAGCCCAAATATACAGGCCGACCATAGATATCGGGTGTGCGCCGGCAGGGGATCGAACCCCGGACCATGTACATGGTCGGCGAGAGTCCTAACCACTGTGCCACTGTGATTGATATCCTACTAATTTGACAGAACTGTCTGACAGGATAGAACTTTACACAAAAATGCATCAGTTCATGGTGACACACTTTGAAAAAACTAACTATACAACAGTAACAGAACAGTATGTAATGAAACTAAAATAGATGAATGCAAATAGTACATATTCATATAGGGGCATTTAATGTTAGGACACTTTGCCAAATAGGACAACAGGCATCACTAGCCAAGACTCTGGCATCCCGAGCCATTGATGTATGTTGTGTTTCAGAAACACGCATACAGGACCCAAGTGTGGTTATTCACCTAACCCCACCTGGCCAACGGGATGAATCTGCAAAATTCACCTTGAGGGTGTCAGGAGATGCGACGGCTAGCTCACGAGGATCAACTGGTGTTGGGATAGCTTTGAGTACTAGAGCAGAAAAGACATTACTTGACTGGATCCCGGTAGATAGCCGAATGTGTGCTGTCCGTCTGAACGGATCAGTGAAAAGGAGAAAGGACTGCACTACTCGCCGATGCCTTTTCGTAATCTCCGCCTACGCCCCCACTGACTGCAGTTCGAATGAAACGAAGGATGAGTTCTACCAAAAGCTGTCTAGTTTGCTGCGAAAGGCTAAACGCTCAGATATAGTCGTTTTAGCTGGTGACTTTAATGCTCAAGTGGGGAAATGGTGCCAATCTGAGAAGAATGTCGGTGGCACATACGGAATTCCGTGCCAGCGAACCGACAACGGTGACCGTCTCCTACAGTTCTGTTCAGATAATCACTTGTTTCTTGTAAGCACTAACTTCAAACACAAGGAGAGACACTGTCTTACCTGGCGACCTCCATCATCAAACCAACGCTGGACACAAATAGACCACATAGCAATAAGGTATCGTTGGCGTGGGTCGGTAGGGGATTGTCGCTCCTTCTGGAACACGTGTGTAGATACCGATCACGCACTGGTCCGCGCTCGTGTGTGCTTACGACTGAACGGACGTAGGAAACAGCTGGCGGTAAACCCATCACGTCCCCAGCTCGATCTGGAAACTAAGTCCCTATTTGAGGAAGAACTAGCTAAACACATATCTGAGTTAGACAGCTGCGCTAACCCTGAAGAAGCCTGGAAGAATATTCAATCAGCCATAGATACAGCTGTAAAAGCTGTGAATAAGGTAAATCCAAAGGTGAGTAAAAACCATTGGATTTCGACTGCCTCATCCGAACTGATGGATGCTAGAAGACTTATTCCGGCGAGCTCCGAATTCAATGAAGAGCGAAAGCTGCACAAAAGGAAACTCACGAAAAGTCTCCGCAAGGACCGTGAACAGTGGTGGTTGGCAAAGGCGAAAGAGATGGAAAAAGCATCGGCGATAGGCAACACTAGGCAATTCTTTAGACTCATCAGGGAAACGGGTGGGAGAAGGCAAATCATAAGTGAGACTATTTCTGAGAAAAATGGCTCCTTAATTAGCTCTCAGGATAGACGCCTCGAACGCTGGAAAGAACACTTCGAGGAACAGTTTAACTTGCCTACAGCCACACTGAGCCTCCCCGCCATCCAGCACACACCCGAATGGGACATAGACGCTGGCCCGCCGTCTGTAAGTGAGGTCACCAAAGCAATCTGTAATTTGAAACGAGGCAAAGCGGCAGGACCCGACGGAATTATTCCGGAGGTGTTTAAATATGGGGGTGACATACTTGTATACAGTTTAACTAAGCTACTAGGTAACGTCTGGGAATCAGAGACGGTTCCATCAGACTGGGGTAAGTCACTTATTATACCAATATTCAAGAAGGGAGACAAGTCCTCATGTGATAATCATAGAGGAATCAGCCTAACGAACATAGGCTCTAAAATCCTAGGCTCAGTAATCATCAACAGACTAAGCCGAACTCGGGAGGAACAAACGAGGGAAAATCAAGCAGGCTTTAGGCCAGGTAGAGGGTGCATAGATCATATCTTCACTCTCCGACAGATCCTAGAACATAGACACACTTTTAGGCGTCCAACAATTGCCATAT